AGACTAGTCTTTCTCCACTGAATTGTCTTTGCACCTCTGTCACCAATCAGTTGTCCATATATATGTGGAACCACTTCTGCACTCCCAATTCCGTTGCATTGACCTATTTGTCAGTCTCGATGCCCACAGCACGCTGTCTTGATTACTATAGCTTAATAATACGCCTTAAAATCAGGCAGCGTTAGTCCTCCAACTTTGCTCATTTTCAAAACTGTTTTGGTTATTCTAAGTCCTTTTCATTTCCATATGAATTGTAGAATCAGCTTGCCAATTTCTACAATTTCCATGCTGCTGCCCACCCCCTCTTTGTACTTGGACCATTTGACAAGTAAACAAATAGGGAAAATCTGAGCTGGGGGTTGGTACCGAAACTCTGAACAAAGCGAGGGCTCAGGAAGACTGAACTGAATGGAAGGAATGCTCTCCCCGTCACCAAGACAGAACAAGGGTGGTTTTGTGCTTCAAACAAAGCATCCCATGGTCAAAGGTGATGGATGCGTGAGCCCTCCACAGCCTGGCCCCTTCCTCTGGGCACGGGGCATTGCCTCTTATTCCTCCATTAGAACACTCTCTCTTCTGCTCTGGGCTTTCCTGGTTGTTTGGTGTAGCTTCTGGCCCTGAGGAGCTCCCAGGCTGTATGCTTCTACATCTGGGTAACCACAGAGTCCAGAACAGAAAAAAAATGAGCCCTCAGTGGACGCCAAGGGGGAAAGATAGTAAGAAAAGGAAATGGGTATATACGCTGGGAAATCCAAAGGAATATCAATTGCTGGGCATTGCTTTAGTAGCTATAAAGGCTGTTTGGGGAGTTTTCTAGAAATAGTAATGGCTACTACATAGACTATGCTATGCTCTGTGCTGAGCTTTGCTCTCCATAATTTTCTCATTCAGTCCTCAAAAGCATCCAATGAGAGAGGAGTATAATTACATCTATTTTCCAGATGAATCGAGATATGCAGAGGTTGAATAACTTGCCTAAGTCATTGCTTGCAAGTAACAGAACCGGGACAAGAATCCAGGGTCTGCGTGATTCCAAAGCCCACACTCTAGACTGAACCCCAGGATGACTCTGCCTTCAGGGATGAGGAATGGAAAAGCCTCATAAATGTGTACAGTCAGATGAGCATGATTTAATGAGCTGCTACTATGAGCCAGGGCTGTACTCAGGACCATCTGACATAACCATATGTGACACAGCACACAGGGAAGATGACTGACTCTCCTCTAGCCAACTTGGGAAGTCACACCCTGACCAGAGAAGAAAGGCCTTCAGTGACGGATTTGAAAACAGAAAGGAAAGACCTGGGGGTACCAGTCTCTTTGGGAAGAGGGTCATCTGGCAGAATCTTCACCCCTGGAGGCTTCTCAAACTGACTTAAGCACAAAAGAGGATTCATAGTATCAAGCAAGCAGAGATGCTGTAGCTCTGGGCACAGTGGGAATCATTCTCAGCCGGTTCTTTCCAGGTGGCAGCCGTGTGGCCACCCACACCTCTAGGGTTCATTTCCCCTGCTCAGAAACCTCTCTTAAAGAGTTCCAGCAAAAATTCCAAGTCAGACTCTTATTGACTCAAGTAGAATCATTTAGAGCCCATCCATGAGACACTACTGAACCAGTTCTGAGTTCCACGACACTGCTGAGTCAGAGGATGGGAGCCCGCTCAGTCAAACTGCCCTGCCGGAGAGCAGGAGAGTGGAAAATCCCTGAAGGAAAGCAGAGGTACCATGCCAGAATATGGTCAGCTGAGCAGGCAGAACAACAGATGTACACTCTGACTTCTCCCTGACTCAGACATCCACAGCAGTCCCGCCCAGCCCACAAGGCATCAACCGATAACACTGTGTTTGCTTTGCTGGGTTCTCCTTCCAGTATTGATCTTCACAAAAACATGTGTCTGCATCCAGTTGCTGGATCCTCCTTCCTTGTCCTCTTCCGGCCAATGAAGCCCAAGGTTTGGCACCTACAACTTTCAGAAGGCATGGGCTTCTTTCTACGTTAACAGTGATCCTATTTCAGATTTACATACTCCTGTCCTCCGTACACAGAAATTGTATGTTCTCTCCCAGAATCTGGGCCTGTATTGTGATATGCACCATTAGGGACAATGAGAAGGGCATCTGGAACTAGAGATGTCCCCAACACCTAAACTGAATGGCCACTGTACCCACTGTCCTCTACCGAGTAGCATGTACAGGAAGCCAGGAAGCAATGCTTGGGTTGGCAGCTCTTTATCCCTCGCCAGGTGCCCCTGCAGAGTCATGCCTTATCCCAGGTCCCAAAAGGTCCAAGGGGCTTCTCCAAAAGCTACTGTTGGCTCCAATTAACTGGACAATTTTACACAGGACAGATGAGACCGAGTGAATCTCCAGGACAGCCAGGATAAGGGACCAGGCCCCAAACTCCTAGGTCTTCCCTGGTCCACCACTGCCCAGCCTCTGGGGCAAAGGAACCCCAAAAGGGGTAAGGCAGGCCCCTCCCTCCCATAAAGAACTGAGTATGTGAGATGTTTCACATGCAGCAGTAACAGCCACTACAGCAAGAAAGGCAAGTTCAAAGGTAACTGGACGAGGGGTTTTAAGCATGGCTGTTCCCGCAGCAAACTGTTTCATGAATACCCATCGGGATCTGTCCATATGGACAGCAGAAGGGCTCCTGCTGTTCTTTTGCTAATAAAAACTGTTGTGATTACATTTCCAGTCCTCTCGGAATGGGGCCTCCGTGGGACCGCAGCGTGGCGTGCTGAGCCGAGAATGTGTCTTCCCAGCTGATAGGCAGCCACCCCTCCCTGCTGTGGAGACCAGCACCCTCAGGTTGCGGAAGGAGGATCCTCAGGGGAGTTGGGGACGGAACAGGTGTGTGCATGTTATCTGTAACTGTGTAGTCTCACACATGCTACGCACACACACAGGAAAATCTTAATTAATGGAACAACCTTCCATAAGTGGTTCCAGTTATTGGCATTTTCCAGTTAATTAGAGGCTAACCTGCGATCGTTTCTTTATTTCACTCTCCTTGTGGAAGTACATTAGTTTAATTTCACCCCTACCCTCATGTCTGAGCTCCAGCTAGCATCTTTGTTGAGAATGGCCTCCCCTACCCCTCCGTTCTCTATCAAAATCCTACCTGTCCTTCCTGCCCTGAGTCAATTTGAATGCTGTCTCCTCCATAAGGCTTTCTTAAATTCCTAGCCTTGGGGGGGGGCAATTTTCCCCCCTGCTTTTTCCTACCCCTCAAAGACTCCTCTTATAAAGCACTTACCACATCCTTATCTTCTCTCCCCTAGGAAGCTCCAGGCTCCTATAGGTCACTGTCAGGGCCTTGCCTCCGAAGCCCCAGTGCTAGCGACATAGGGTTTGGGATATAGCAGGTGCACAACAAATTTTCATTAAATGAATGAACATTCGTTCTTTTTTTTTGCACACGTGAAACTAATATAATATTGTACATCAACTATACAGTTGATGTACAATATTCAATTTGTATTGAACTATATTCAATAGAGTTCAATTTTTTAAAAAACTGAACATTCATTTTTACTGTAATCTGAAAGTTTAGGAGCCTGGGATCGATCAAAATTTAAGACCTCCATAATACTAAAAATTTTTTAGTTTTCAAAAACAAATTCCTGCTTTTCATTATTCTCTTCATTCTCATAAAACAATTAAATCTTATTAAAAAGCTCAATTCATTGGGTATGTATTGATCAAGAACATATCCTCTGCACATTCATTCTCTTCCCTTGGAGACGACACACACAAGGTATTCAGAATACACGTACATACATACATAAATACATACGTACACACAAGTAGATGGGGCATCACTATTTTTTTTAATCTCCAACATACAAAAATTCTTGTTTGCAAAACATATCAGTGAGAAAGCCACTATTCACCTTCTTAAAGAGTTTTTGTTTCACTTAAGGAGTCATCCTGGTGTCCCCATCAGAGCGGGCTCTCCCACCACATCTGAGGGTTTGTTCATTAACATTAACTGCTTGACTACAAGGGTAAGGAAGCTTTCATTGGCTGTGGGTCTTTAAACTTCACTTGAGCATAATCAAAATGATGATGAAGCACCTCTGAGGGGACTGAGTAAGGCCAACAGGAAAATGAAGTTTTCTTTGCAAAAGCACATCCATTTACACACAGCTTGTTAAAGCAGAGGCTGTAAAGGAGGACTATGCCGCTAAGCCAGTCATGTAAACTTATGCTTAGGACTTCACCTCTCTGGGCCTCGACTTCCCCATCTGTTGAGTGAGATCAAGAGGGTTGGTAAGGCAGCTGAGGGCTAGGGTAGGAATTTATCCCTAGAGCATAGTATAAATGGTACTTGGCCAAAAATACTTGGCTGAGTCTATGAAACATCAGTATCCTTGCACATTATTGCCACCAACGATCAGTCATCCCGAGTGCTCACTTTGCTGTGGAAACAACTCCAAAATCTCTGTGGCTCAATGAAACAAAGGTTTATTGCTGCTACTAGAGCCAACTTAAGTCTCAGGAGAGCTCTGCACCACAAAGTCACTCAGGAACTGTGGCTGACAGTCTCCTCTATGTTAGAGCTGCACTACCTAAGTGTCTTAGCCTCCTCCATCACTGCAGCAGAGGGAGAGACAGCTGTAACATCTTCCATGCTTCAGGACTTCCCTGGTGGTCCGGTGGTAAAGAATCCGCCTTGCAATGTAAGGGACGTGGGTTCGACCCCTGGTCAGGGAACTAATATCCCACATGCCGCGGGGCAACCAAGCCCGCATGCCGTAACTACTGAGCTTGCGCGCCTCAATTAGAGCCCACATGCCACAAACTACAGAGCCCACGTGCTCTGGTACCCGCGTGCCACAACTACAGAGCCTAAGCACTCTGGAGCCTGCATGCCACAACTAGAGGAGAGAAAACCCACACGCCACAACTAGAGAGAAGGCTGTGCACCACAATGAAGAGCCCACGTGCCCCAACAAAAGATCCCAAGTGCTGCAACTAAGACCCAATGCACCCAAAAATAAATAAAATAAAAATAAAAGAAGATCTTCCATGCTTCATCCCAGAAGGGATCCCCCTCACTTATGTTCATAGCCCATGCCAGAGTAGTCACATGGTTCTAGAGAAGCGGATGGACTATTGGTGATGTGATCCCCTCAGTCTCTGCCACATCCAAGGACGCTCCCCACTCCTGCTCCCCCCATCCACACAGTCAACTAAGTCACTCCTCCATCTCCTTAGGGTAAAGCCTGACTGTCCTCCATAAGATTGTTCTCCATAAGAAAGCCAACGGGGCATCAGTGTCCCCAACCACAGGGCTAATGTCACCAGCGCTTGCCATTCAGTCAACAAAACCCTCCTCTATGGGAAAAAGTGCCTGGTTGGTGCCACTTCCAAACTAAGTCAACCCAGCCATCCCCAGACTTCAGAGCAACCCAACCCCCACTGCCATGGGGCCAACAGGACTGGTCCCCAGCTGCATACCACCTGGGTCTTCTCTACCTCTGGGCCAACCAAGTCACCCAATGACTACACCCACCACTACAAAGGGCTGTCCCAGCCAGACCCCTGCCTCTAGCTCCTATTATCCCTGCCAGTTGCCAGTCTCTGCCCACTGGGAGGCCCTGTGCCTCCCAGCACACACTGGCCATCCCCCTGCCTCAGATGGCAGCCTCCCATGGCAGATCCTCCTCCCAGGCTACCAAAGTCCTCCCTCTGGTCTAGTCCCCAGTCCTCAGTCCACAGTCCTGGTGGGACAGGGAACAGCTGGAGAGGGGGGCCCATTCACAGCCCATCTGTCCCTTGCGGGATGTTTTTCATATAGTATGTTTTTATTCCTCTTACTTCCTGGTCCATCAGGCCACATTCATCAAGTTCACAATAAAAAGAGGCTGAAGGGAAACGACTGACCTCTCTATCAATAAAGCAGAGAAGTCCCCCCTTTCTATGGCCAGAGGACAGATCTGACCATGAGTCAGGGAAGACATGGGGTCTTTTTTCCAATGCCCCCAAGTGAGTCATATCAACTCTGAATGGGTAAGAGAACGAGAGAATGAATGAAAGAATGTCACATGACAGGTGCTCAATGAATATCCATTCATTTATTCTTCGTAGTGTTGGCTGATGTAACATGTCAGCAGATCCTTGGTCCTGCCAACAGAATTAGACAAGATTGCTGAGAAAAGAACAAGAATCTCCTGTGATAAATATTTTTCAGCATTCATTATGCACCGGGCTGTGTAACACACATGGTCTTTATTTGCATTAGCGCTTTTGAGCCTCACAACAACCTCGTGAGGTATACGATTCCTACATTCTGATTATTCCTCTAATTCCTATGAGATATTATTCCTATGATTATTCCTACATTACAGGTTGAGCAAACTGAGCTCTGGGGTTTGTTATGAGAACAGCCGAGGTCATCCAGCTAGTAAATGGCAGAGCCAGGCTATGAGCTCAAGGATCTAAGTGATCTTTGGGGAATGCCCAGTTACAGAATTTGACTGGAATTAAATTCAGTCAGAACTTCTTAGGCTCCTACTGTGTGCTCATGCAGTCTACACTAGGTGAATGTGGAAATGGAGAATATGGAAATGATGAGTCATGATCCCTGCCCTAAAGGAGCTCGCGATCCAGCAGAAAGGATGGTGACAGTGATGCCTCATCCCACACCCACCTGGAAGACACCACAGGTGACAGCTGTAGAAGCACTGGGTAAACAGAAACACTGAACCAAAATGGATCATCATAGTTGCTATGGCTACCCACAGGGTACCGAGGGGAGCCACATCCCAGCAGAAACCACTAGGGCTCAGAGGGAGGCAGACTGTCCCCTGCTGCCACCCCCACCTCAGAGAGCTGGAGCCAGAGGGTGAGTCAGGAGGGCCTGCCACTCCCGGGGGGCCCGCAGGCAACAAACACAGCTTAGGCAGAGTGATGTGTGCCCTCCAACACCATGATGGCTAAAACCCAGAGACGTGGGAGGGACAGTGTGACGCAGCTGTGCCTCCTAAATATAGCCTGACTTCAGCTCCCACAGAGTGGGAGCCAGAGCCACCTTCCAGGGGTGGCTCTAAAAATAAAGATGCAAACAGGCCTAGCACTCCCCTGGGCTGCTCAGGGCCCACAAGTTGGCATCTTCACCTGAGGGGTTGGCAGAGAGGGTGGAAATGAAGCAGTGGACCACGGGCAGACTTCGTGGTCCCTGGGACCCTCATGAGGACACCTGGAACCTGTCTAAAGGACACCTGTCTAAAGAGCTCAACGGGTGAACGAATCAATGTCAGTGACTTCAGGAAGTTCACTAAGCATCTGGATTCATTATTCTCATTTTACAGATGAAGAAACTGAGGCTGCTCAGAGGGGAGACATGACTTGGCCAAGTCACACTAACAGTAAAGACTAGAGTTGGAACATCACTGCATCTTCCTTGGCCAGACCTGCTGACTTTTACACCCCACAGCCTGTCTTGACCCTCTGCCTCCTCTCTCTTCAGTGCCTCCATCAATTGCACCTGCCACCCCTTCACCTTCTCATCCCACCCCTACGAGAGCCCCACACCACCCCAGTCTTCCCCAAACAGGCATAGAAGAGATGTAGGCTGTTAAGCTCCATGAGGGAAGAGATCACGTCTATTTTATTCTTTACTATCCCCTCAGCCTCTAGAATAATGCCAGAATAGAGAAGGCATTCAATATTTGCTGAATAAATAACTCCTCTTCTTTCTCTCATATCAGATCCAATCCATTAAAATTCCCATAGGCTTAACCCTCAAAAAACATCCAGAACGTTTATTAGAGTGGCTGAATTAAAAAGACTGACCACACCAAGTGTTGGTGGGGATATGGGGAACTGAAAGTCTCATACGGTGCTGGCAGGAAGATAAAACAGTACAATCACTTTGGAAAATGGTCTGGCAGTTTCTTACAAAGTTAAACATATACTTACCATATGATCCGGTTGGTCCATAGCTATTCACCCAAGAGAAAAGAAAGCACACACAAAGGTCCACACAAAGACTTGTACACAAATGTTCATAGCAGCTTTATTTGTGATCGCCAAAAACTGAAAACCACCCAAATGTTCATCGTCAGGAGAATGGGTAAACAAACAGTGGTGTATCCATACAATGGAATGCTACTCAGGAATAAAAAGGAATGAACATGCAACAACAACAGAAGGAATGATGCATGCAACAACATGGCTGCAACTCGAAATAATAATGCTGACAACACCACTAATTATTAGAGAAATGCAAATCAAATGGACAAAGAAGATGTGATATATATATCACAATGGAATACTACTCAGCCATAAAAATAAATGAAATATTGCCATTTGCAGCAACATGGATGGACCTAGAGAGTATCATACTAAGTGAAATAAGTCAGACAAAGACAAATGCCACATGATATCACTTATATGTGGAACCTAAAAAAATAATACAAATGAACTTATTTACAAAACGGAAACAGACTCACAGACAGAAAACAAACTTACGGTTACCAAAGGGGAAAGTGTCGGGGAGGGATAAATTAGGAGTTTGGGATTAACAGATACCCACTACTATATACAAAATAGATAAACAACAAGGTCCTACTGTATAGCACAGGGAACTATTGATATATTCAATATCTTGTAATAACCTATAATGAAAAAGAATCTATGTACGTGTGTATGTGTGTGTATGTACCTGTATAACTGAATAACTTTGCGGTACACCTGAAACTAACACAATACTGTAAATCAACTATACTTCAATAAGATAATAATAATAATAATGCTGAGTAGAAGAAGTAGAACAAAAACAAAAGTATATACTTTTTGTATGATTTCATTGACACAAAATTCTAGAAAATGCGAACTCACCGATAGTGACAGGAAGTTCAGTAGTCGTCTGGGACTTGACTGGCGCTGGGCAAGATGTGATGAGAATGAGCAGGGGGTAGGGCGATACAAAGGGCACAATGAAAGTTTTTTAATTATAAATTCATCCATTATCTTGATTACTGTGATGACTTCATGAATATATACATATGTTAAGACATCAAAGTGTACCCTATACATGCAGTTTATTGTATGTCAAATATATCTCAATAAAGCTGTTTTTTTTGAGGGTTTTCTGTTCTGTTTTGTTTTTTTAATATCCAAAACCCAACCATTTCTCACCACCTCCACTGCTAGCCACTCTGCTCCAAAGGCTACAGCCACCTGGATGCCTCACTCTGTGTGACCCAGCCCTGCTGAAATTTCTCCTGTTCCAGAATATTCCATCCGCTCTGCGGCAGATGCTGTGGTTCCTGCTCACAGATCCACCCACCCACCCCCGGCTACTCTGCTGATGGGCTGATGACAATTCACAGCTGCCCCTCTTCCAGAGACTTGCTCTTGGCTGAGCCATGTCACCTTGCCAGGGAGGTTACAGCTCCATCCCAGGGACACCGACGACAGGGATACAGAAGTCTAGCCCCCTTGCTCCAAGAGCAGATGAGTCCTGCTGCAGGGCCCCACCACCACGCATCAGGCCAAAGCTAGACTGTCTGCAACCACATCCTTGCTCACCTTCTTCTTTCCTATCCTAATTTACTCCCCACCCCATCCCAGGTTGTACTGAAGAGCACTCCCTGAATAAAGCACAGAAACCTGAATCCCTTCTCAGGCTCTGGGAACCCAGCCAAAGGCAGGTGGTGCCAGGGGTGGACCTAGGAAGCAGATCTAAGGATGGGATTCTGGGGTGGATCACTCACGGCCAGGTGGCAGGTAAGAGCTGGGAGTCCAGAGCATGGGATAGCTGTGCACTTGCTGACTTTTGCCTGTGGTGACTGGGATGGGACACAGGTGGAGGGGGAAGAACAGACTCATGAAACATCTGTGGAGTTTCAGTGATACAGAAGAAAGGGTAAGTATATGGGCCATCCAATTGGCTGCTGCCGAACACTCAACGCTTTGAAGAGAGAAAATGGCAAGCTTGGGACAATCAGTCATTAATTCAAAGCAATTATGAGAGGCAGACACCTTCTTCAATGGCATTTAAAGAGTTAGAGAGACCCTCACCTCCTGCAGTTGGACAACAGAGCTAAGCCTAGACCCAAGACACAACTGTAAGAGTAGCAGAACTTTGGAGAAAGTTGCTTTCTCAGGCCCAGCAATTCTCATACACCAAGTCAAGGCCCTGAGAGGAAGAAGTGGGACCCTGAAATTTGGGATGGAGACATTTAAGTAGATACACTTGAACACCCTGACTCCCCATTTCCCCTGAACCCTGGGTCTGCTGAAAAGCCCTACTCCCCTCTGCTTTAAGTCTGTACAGAAGCCTCAGATGAGGCAGGTGGCTTAGGGGACAATGCTAGCCCTCCTTAGGATGTGCCCCCACCTCCTTCCCTGGCCACCAGAGCCATAACTAGGACCAAACTGCAGCATGGTTCCCTGGGCAAGCGCTCAGCCTGTTGAGAGAGAGAGAGAGAGAGAGAGAGAGAGAGAGAGAGAGAGAGAGATAGATTATACACCAAAGGAGCTATAAGACCCAGCTAACATGAACCAGCAGAAACCTGAAGAGTATATCTAGAAGTAGGATGCTGAAGGAGGAAAGCTGAATGTAAAGCTGGATTTAAAAGTTTATTATTGGGCTTCCCTGGTGGTGCAGTGGTTGAGAGTCCGCCTGCCGATGCAGGGGACACGGGTTCGTGCCCCGGTCCAGGAAGACCCCACATGCCGCAGAGCAGCTGGGCCCATGAACCATGGCCGCTGAGCCTGTGCGTCCAGAGCCTGTGCTCCGCAACTGGAGAGGCCACAGCAGTGAGAGGCCCGCATACCGCAAAAAAAAAAAAAAAAAAGTTTATTATTGCCATGGAGGCACTCCTATATCACAGGACTTAACACCCTGGCAAAGAGCCCTAGAGGGTGGTTCTGATGTGCTGCTGGTATGGCTCTTGGAAGCTGCTGTCACAGACTGTAGGGGAAGGGGTCCAAAGACTCAAATGGGACTACTATTTGACCAGCAATGGAGGACATATGTCCCTTAAAACCTAAACCATTTACTCTCTGGCCTTTATAGAAAAAATTTGCTGACCTCTGATGCACGGGGTTGGCTAATAATTATAACATACATAATGCTCCCAGGAGCTAACAAGGTTATTGTTTAATATGTAGAATCGAACTAGATGAAGAATGGATGAGCCCAAAGCCAAGATTAGATACTCCAGTGGAGATTTACATTCCCTTGCCCAGTTTCCAGACTTGAGCCAGTTCTCAGACCCAGAACTCATTAACTGGTCCCCATAAGACAGATCTTGAAACATTATAGTAAATATATATGGTAGTCATTCCCCACTGGAACTATGATCATTTACTCAAGAGAAAGGAGAATTACAATGGAGAAACGGAATATCCAGACCATTTGGGGGATGTTAGATACAGGATCTAAGCTACCATGGGTATCTTGAGACCCAAAGTCCCATTATGGTTCCTTCATTTTAGTAGAAGCATTTGGGAGTCAGATAAAAAATGGAGTCATGGCCCAGGATCAGTGGTCATTTCTCAGTTCCCAAACATATAATTGGAATATATCTACGTAGCAATGATTCCTTGACAAGTAGAGTAAAAAGCTCTTTTAGTACAAAAGGCCAAGTGGAAGCGTCGAAAGCTGCCTACATCCCTGGACCAAGGTGGTAAATCAAAAACATTATCACTTCCCAGGGGAATGGTAGAGATTAGTGTCATCCTCAAAGACTTAAAAATGCAGAGGAGATGGTCCCTATCATATTTCCCATTTAATACACTAGTCTGGCCTCTGTCATGGCAGGTAACAGTGAACTACTCCAAGCTTAACCAAATAGTAGCCCCATTTGCAGCTTCTAAGCTGGATGTGGTATCTTAACTAGAGCAAATTAGCATAGCTGCAGGTAAGTGGTAGGTAGCTTTTGATCTGACAAATGCTTTCTTTCCCATACCCAGCAGAAAGGAGGACACAAAACAATTCACATTCACATGGGATGAACAGCAGTATCCATCCACAGTTCTTTGTTCATCCTCTCACAGGACTCTGTTCATTCTCCTTCATTCTGTTATAATATATCCGAGGGGGCCTGAAACATCTAGATATTCCACAGAACATCACTGGCCCACTATATTTATGACATCATGTAAATCAAACCTTTATGAGTAAGCAGTAACAAGAATGATAACAAGTCAGATACAAGTGCCTGAGGTGGGTGCAAAATAAACCCTACAAAGAATCAGAAATCTTCCAGTCGTTGTTTCTGGAATTTCATGGTCTTGGGGATGCTGGGACACTCATTCCAATATAAAGAGCTAGTTATTGTACCTTGCACCTTCTACCACCCAGAAAGAAGCACAATGCTTTGAAGGCAACATATTTCACACTTGGGAATAATGCTCCAACCCATTTGTCACGTGATACAGGAGGCTACTAGTTTTGAGTAGAGCCCAGAATAAGAAAGTCCCCTGCAGTAGGTTCAGGCTGTGATACAAACAGCACTTCTGCTTGGGCCATATGATACAGCATACCTCAAGCAACCAGAGGTATGTGTGGGGGGAAAGACACCTTGAGGAATCTCTGGCAAGTCCTAACAGGAGAGTCACAGGCAGACTTATGGGATTTTGGAGCAAAAGCTTGCAATCTGCAGCAGAGAACTATATACCATTCCAGAACAACTCCTAGCACGCTAATTGGTCCTGGTAGAGACAAGAGTTTTTGATCATGGGACACCAAGGGGCCAGGAGTCCAGAACTATACATTGTGATCTGGGAATGTCAGCAATCCGTCAGAAGTTGGAAGTGGTACATCCAGGATCAGGTTCAAACAGGTCCAAGGACAGAAGTAACTGAACAAACAGGAGGCCCATACTCCATGTCACCAAACATATTCGCACCAATGTCTCTCCCTTAGCTCACACCTATGGTCCTATGAGAGGTTCCCAAAGGCCAGGTGATGGAGGAATAAGGAGCCCAAGTTCGGTTCACAGATGTTGGTACAAGCAGAAAATGGACACTGTTGCACTACAGACCCACTCAGGGGACCCTAACAGACAATAGTGAGGAGAGATCCTCCCAATGCACAAAACTTCAGGCAGGGCATCTAGTCATCCACTTTCTGTGGACAAAGAAGTGGTCTGAGGTAAGGACATATGTAGACTGATGGGAAATGGTGAACAGCATGGCTTGTTGGTCAGGAGTTCTGGAAGGAACAAGATTGAAGTTCAGGGACAAGGAAGTCTGAGGTAGAGGCAAGCAAATGGGCTTACTGGAGTGGACACAAGGTGTGAAGATCCTTGTGTCATATGTTAACACACACCAGGGATCAGCCCCTGTGAAAGACGAGACAGGATGACTTGGCCAGGCAATGTTAGCTAGCCTCGGTTCTTGACCACCACCAGTTTGCACAACGTGCTCGTAAACAAAGTAACCATGGTGGCGCAGACTGAGTTATGTATGAATACAACAGCATAGGCTTCTTCTCACCCAGGTTGATTTAGCTACTATCACTGCTTCCTGGGTTCCTAGATCAGCAGGCACAGGAAGAGTTTCTATACTGTCTGGGGTCACTGTCCCTCATCACCATAAGGAAGTGTGGCTTGCTTCCATATAATGGGAGCATGGAGAAATGTGCTTGGAACTCACGTGATCCACTGGATTGTCTCTTGGCATTTCCATGCCTACTGTTATCTATAAGTAGCAGGTATACCAACCACAGCCTGAGGAAGGCATGGTAACCAGGTGCTCAGACCCCTTAGAGAAGAGTGGCTGGGCCACCCCACCTGGCAAGCCACCCAGACCAGCAAAGATAAGAAAAATCTAAAGTAGATAGAAGAGGAGGAAGATAACGATGATCCTCAAGGCTTTGGGGAGGACGGGAGGTTTTCTCACAGCTTCCCGAATCTAGTTTGCTTTCTCCA